AAATGTATATAATATATAAATATTACTCGTGCAGCTGCAAAAAAAAAAACATTGTTATTGCGACCACCCGAAGATTTACCTGTACCTGTATGTATGTAGTAGTAATGCTCATAAGAAATAAAAAAGCTAATATTATTTGAAACACCAACTCGTGACGTTTGGGGTATTAACTTTACAAATCGATTTGTGGCGTTTGCGAGTCACCCAAAGGTCGTTAAAAGCAACACTTATGACGTTTTGTCCCTACGTTTTGACTTAGTTTTGACAAAATAAATAATATATGTTAGCTAGAAACTTTAACAAGTGCGTTAAACAGTTACAGACTTGGAACGAATTTGGAACCTTCAAAGATCATGAATTAAACCTCCTTCATAAATAAACGTGAAACCTTAGCAATGTATAAATATTTGTCTGATAATATCTTATGGAAATATGGTCAGCAATAGAACATTTATTTCCCGGTTAAAAAAAAAAAATTACATAGAATCATGTTTTTAGCTTCTCCTCTCTGACCTATCCCTCGGTCGTCCTATCCCCTTCTTTCCTCCTATTTCTGATCTATGTAACCCAAATCTAACCTATACCTAACTGATCTCTCCCAATTGCTTCTCATCGGGAGCCATGATAAGTTGTCCCTTATCACTGTTCTCATATCAGGAATAAAAAAAAAGCTCTTTTATTTCGAATCTCCGTTGTTTTTATGTTAAATCGTTGTCAAAAACAGTTAGGTCTAGTCAATATTTGTACGAGAAATTTATCAAGTGTCTCTATATAATGTTAGTCCTAAACCCAAATTTCTTCTACAGCTTTACCCACCTAAATTTTTTTTTACAAATTATTTATTACACACATTTTGAATTAAAGGTTTATAGTAATTAATATACATTTTGCATTTATATTTATTATAAACAGTTTATTTCACAATTAAAATTTGTAAATACAATTATTAATGTAGTTTTTTTATTATCCATTATAATTAATAAAAATACCAAATGGCTTTCTACGACAGCCATAAAGAGTCATGTGAATCTAAAATTGAAAATAGATTCGTTTTGAAACATATTTTGTTGTTTATAGTTTATCAATATAGTTATAATTATAACTATAGTTTACAATCAATGTTGATATTATAATATAAAAAAATGTTTTCGATATCTTTTTTTAGACACCTCAACCGCGTTTTTACGTTTAACCGTTTTCATATTCATTTATCATGTTTGGCATTACAATTGATAATGATTTAATAAAAACATTTTACGCGTTAAAATATGCTGTAACCGTTTTCAAAAAAAAAAAAAAAATGCTCACTATTGAAAGTAAAAATATTTGGTGTGTATAAACACTATGCAAAAACATAAAAAAAAAAATAAAAATAGTGACTAATCGATTAACTCTTAAGACGTTCTCTCTGCGTTATCTACAAAACTGGATTTGCGTTTCTTGTTTGTGTTGGCGTATAACAGTGCTCCTACTTTTTTTTACCATAGTTGATTAAAGGTTAACATAATATACATATTACATAATACAAGAACGACTAATTTAACGAGAGATTTTTTTTTTTTTAATACATTATAGTATCTGCCAAAGCAAGTTATTTTTTGTGGGTGTGTACGATGAAAAATGTGCAGGTGGCTATTGTCGCGTCGGACAGACGACTCTATCAATAGAAAAATAAGTTGTCATGTCCCCGATTTAAAAAAAAACATCTGGCCGATGGATCGGCTCTAAGTCTATGATTGGATAGAGGGTTTTTAAATTTAAATTTCAATCATCGAAGATCAAACGTTTCTCTAACGAGTATGTCTATCAGATGGTTTATTAATTCAAACTCAACGGCAACATGGTGTTATTGAAAACATAAGTTAAAAAGAAATTAAGAGTTTTTTTTTAAAATACTTTTGTTATATTAAATATAATTAGTAACAACTATCTAAGTTACTGCAGTACTTGCACTGTATAATGGGGTTATTTATTCGCGTGACAAGACAAAGAAACATGTGAACAATAATTATTAACAGGTTTAGAATTCGATAAGACAACATAATGGCTCAAAATAACACATAATCCACGACATTATAGTAAAATATGTATTACTTAAAAAAGTGTTAATTTAAAGTACATGTACAATATAAACCATTTGTTATTGTTTCACAGGAGGGCTCTTCTTTTCACTTCTGATTTGAGTTAGATCTATTAAAAAAAAACTAGTTAAACAGAAGAATATATTGATGATAAAACCTAATGGATAATAATATTATTGCTGTCTTTTCCTTGTTCAACTAAATCATTTTTTCCAAAATAAATGATCTATTTACAATTTTTTTTTACTGTATAGTTATAATGTATAGGAACATTGATAATGTTCTATTATATATAGATCACAATGTTCTATTATACTATGTAGAATTGTTAAGCATAGTTAACTATTTTTATGCACTTCAATTTATAATATATATAATAATATGATATAATATAATAAAAAAAACCAAAACGATTTGTACGTTGTGAACATGACAGTAGCGGTCTCCATTACTCATACTGTATGTATGACCTTTACAAATTATAATTTATAATTACAGGTTTCTCAGGTTAACTGGTAGGCAGGTAATATATTTAAAAAAAACCACTTACAATATCTTCTCATGACTTTATTATATGACTCCATTAAAATTAAGTGCAATGCATATGATTACAATAATTTCTGAATTATCGAAAACAATTTTTAACTGTGTGTATTCGACACGTTTGTCAGGTACACGTGGTGCTTACTTATGCTTACCAAAGTCTTAACAACAGGAACAGCTTTAACATATTGCTCGGCTAAAAATATCAACTTGCAACGTTTTTCAACTGTAATCGTATAGACTAAACGGGGCCGGTGACTATGACTGTTACATTATAGCGATATTTAATAGTAGATAAAGTGTATTTCTAGTATGAAAGTCGACCAAGTAGGAGTTCCAGACGCCAAAGCGTTTAATTTATTTCGTTTGTAATTTACGGGTTTAATTGTGTCATTGTGATGTTTTGTTTTGTAATAATAATATAATGAGACGTTTTCAGTAAATGTATGCCAACTCCAGAAACTTGACGGATTGAGGTGTCGCTATAGTGCTTTTAACTTAACTCCTTGTCTTGTGTTTATTTTGTAACGGCACGGCGGAAGTATAATAAAAAAAAGTTTTTTTTTTTTTTTAAAGAAAATATCTTTTAATTTAAATTAATTCAACTGGACCGCTGCACTGGCTGGACGGCTCGGCTCGGCCGTGCAAGACGGTATTCTAATTAAGACGTTTGACCAGGCAGGAACCAGTGACTAATTCTCGCTCAGCCGTTGACAGACGGTCCGTCCGTCCGTCGCATTTATCATTCCCGGGTGGATAATTCGGACTATTCCCTCGAGGGTCTCGTAAATCACTCAATCGCTGACCAAAAATAAAAATAAAAAACCACAACGACAACTCGAGACAAAACACAACATGATAATAATATTCTCCTCTCGGGTCGACACACACACACACACACACACAATGTACCTGAACCGGTGCCAAAACTACGACAATGGTGCCAAAGAAAATATAAATTTACTTCTAATTATATTTAATATACCGGCCAATAAAAACCGTGTAAGTTTTTACAGCTGGTAAGTTTGGAGTGGGGTGTGCACGGGACTTTGGCCAATTTCGGACCGCGCAAAAATGATTGATCGCTTTAGCATTATCGCGATATTGTATACATATTATTATTATTATCATGTGCACTCAGGGACTCACGCCTTATACTTACACACGACCGTGTTATATTATTTCATCTTGTAGTGTGTACACCGTGTACAGGGCGATTCATTAAGTACACTCATTTAGGACTCTCGGTTTTCCCCATAGAGTAATAATTGCACTTTGTCGATAACCAGTTTTGGATTACCACTTTAGCTTTAGTGACTTTTAAGAGTAATTATCCAAAACTGATTAGTCACAATTTCCTGTAAAATATTCCTAATTCTTAAAAATGAATTCAACATAGTAAAGTCTTTCAAAAGTTAATAGAGGTCTCAAAAAAACTTAAGGTTGTACAGTTATTAAAATTTCAAACGTACGCAAGGGCAGATGGTTTTTACAATTTAACTACTGTCGTGGAAAAAGTAAAAATCGAACAAAAGTTTATTACAATAACTTATTATATTATATTTATCTACTAACAAATACGATGCTTCGACGCGAATGTGTGGAGAGTAAGAATCCAGCACAGTTTAAACCAATTACAGTCTAAACCAGTACAATCCAGCATCTACAGATTATTATCGAAGTATTTATTTGAATGTGATTTTCAAATAAGTAATTTCTAAATAGTTTCTGGATTTCAGTGCAAGTCTTCAAAATTGGCCAAACTATATTTTTTGGGTAAATTTGATTAAAACAATTTTTTTTTAAAAAACGTACAAGAACTTAATAAGATCACTCTAAGTAGGTGTCTATACAAATATAATATACACGACCTGATAAGTTGTAGGTAACGTGTTTATGTTAAAATTGACAAAACATGCAAAAAACGCAGTTTTTTATTGTACGAGTTCTACCTAATGACAAATTGTCAACTAAAAGGTCCTATAGTTAGGGCTAAAACCCATTAAAAAAAAAAATCCTACGTCCAATTTGAGGGCGGAGGAGTTAACTTTTTTCAACTTTTATCACCCTAGGGGTGCCGACTAGATAGAATTTGTGATTTATAGAGTTGCAATTCGGTCCAGTATTATTAAGAAAGTTACACAGTGGGTAAACAAGATAACAAGTTGCACATACTATTGTAAAAACAAAATTGCAAAATTATTTTAAAAGAAAACCGGTGTTTTTTCCTTACTGAATCATCCTGTATACGTGTATTAATCATGTAGAGTGGGTATTCTACTCCAACCAGCTATCAGAGGGGGGTTCTGTTTCGCACCATCGTTAAGTTTCAAACGATAATAATGTATTTTTTCGCCCATATATGTTTGTCCGCAGGCGATACTGTTTTACGCGCCCAGGTGGCTGTGGAAACTCTGGGAGGGCGGCAAGATCCGGGCGCTCATGATGGACCTGGACGTGGCCATATGCACGGACGCGGAGAAGAAGCAGAAAAAAAAGATACTGCTCGACTATCTGTGGGAGAACCTGAGATACCATAACTGGTGGACATACAGGTATTACCTGTGCGAACTGTTGGCGTTGCTCAACGTAGTGGGTAAGTACATGCAAGTGCGACGGTCGGTTTGGCTTAGGTCGGCGGCACGCGTGGGGGGGGTGGGAAGGGTTTGCCTCCGGAAATTATTCACAGTAAATCATGTTTTTTCGTTGTGTGTATATCGAAAAAGGTTGTAACGATATTCGCCGACCTTTCTCTGTATAAAATAATATCGACAATAGTCGGAAATCTACCGCAGAACTTAGCAAAAGTGTCTGTTTATTATTATATTATCGTTACTATCCAGTATCTAGGATTTTTTCATCAAGGATGGTGTCATTTATTATAATAACCGTGTTCATAAAAATTGTATGTAGTCATTTTTTAAATATAATATATGAATAGGTAGATTTATAAAAAAAAAAAGTTTCATATAAACATTAGGTTTCGATAAATCCATCTTACTATAGACCTTATACTAAAATATTAAAAATGTTTAAATTAATAATTTATGATACGGTCAGGGGGGGGGGGTGTCATATCCCCGAAACACACCTATGTATACGCCACTGTTATTGTCTATACAACAAGCGGAAATAAGACGGGCTTGGGACGGGCCGAAGAAACTTAGACGAGTGGTTGTGAAGTTATGGTTGTCGAAGTGCTTTCTGAACGCAGCTTCTTCGATTTTTTATTTTTCAGAGTCCTGTATACATGGACTTGTAATTGAGGAACCATAAAGTATAAGTTCGTAAACCCTTAAGACGTTAAACTTTCAAATCAAATGTTTAATAAAATATTAAGTATATTAAATTAAATTTATTAATGAGATTTAATGAAATAAAACTTGGAGGAGAAAAAAATGGAAAAAAAATGTTTTTTTTGTCTTTCGTGAAATGTTATAAAAAACGGACTTCCAACTTTGCGCCTGTTATAGTATCTGGTTATTTGTATAGAGTTTTTTTTTCTTTTTAATGAATTAAATTAAACATATTTGTGGTAACTATAAATAAATGCAAAAAAAAAAAACACTTAAAAATATGCCAGGGCGTTGCGTTGGCGCCATTAAATTCCTTGGGGCCTATTCTAAAAAAAATTCTTGGTAAGTCTTAAATAATATGGAAGGTGAGCTACTGAGTTAGTTATTGTCATAGTTTATCTTGTATTTTTACTAACGTTTTGTAACATTCTACAAAATAAATTAAATAGTTTCTAATGATATCCATTTAATATTGTGTTTAAAACTCCAGTGATTGATTTTTTCAAAGTCAAACACAAAAAAAAATTCAATCATTAACTATTGTTTTTATGGAGCAAGTTTCTGGTAAGACATTCTGAAGAGACAATTTAAATTGACTTGGTTATTTGTTATTCCTTTTATTTGACTTATAAATAAAAAATTGACTTGACGCAGGACAACCTGTTCGATTAAGTTTTCTCTTGCAAACTTTTTGGACAAATGACTTTGGTATTGTCAAATTAATAATTATTTTACCATACATTAAAGATATACATATAAAAAACATTTTTATTTTGACTATTATTATTTATTAAATTAGAATCTTGTAGAAATAGCCGAGACGAATAATTGCACCCAATATGCTAATTTATAGTTCGTTGATATAAATTCCATGCGCTTAGGGCCATTTCTCTTGTCTTTTGTGTAAGTCTATAATTACTCAGGTTTTTTTATTAACTATGATCTACGTTTATTTCTTCCATGCTATATTTTATCATTTCCTAATTGCACTTCATTGCAGTAAATTGTTGTGACACAAATTAAAAATATGTCAATTTTTCGTTACCGACGTTTACTAGGTGATTCATTAAGGACAAGAAACTTATTTTTTCTTAACATGATTGCAATTTTGTAGTTTTTAGGAAGAGACATGTAATTTTATAGTATAAGATAATTTTCAAATTTTTATCTTTTGACTTTTAAAGTTACTAAAATTTTAAATGTCGAAAAGGATTATTTCAACCGTAGTCCACCTCCAGTCTTAACTTTTTAAACATTGGTAACTTCAAAAGTAATTATCCAAACACTGGTTATCGACCAGTCAAAATGTTCAGCAATTGTTTCTTAATATAGAAAGTTAATTTATGATGTACTTTACCAGGCTCTGGAAAAAGATACAAATTTGAATGTTGTGAAGTAACATAAACCAAAATGTCTCCAAAGAGAAAAACGGTGCATTTATTTTAAGAAAAGCTGAGGGCCTTATTCTCCACGAATCATCCTGTATACTCTGTACCATCTGTGCCTGTGGTCACGTAGGCCGCACAACCAGGGTATATTCATGTTGCTTATGGAACCGCAAGTACATTGTTTTGGCAGGTACTGGACAAACCGATTTCCTAGACCGCTGCGAATTAGCCGTCAATTAACTTTAGTTGTTTTAAGTTATGACCACCACCGCCGCATTTGTCAGTTTGTTTGGCCGTGAGCACTTTTCTACACCGCCGAACACCGTTATGATAATAAATCTTAAGATCTACGGCTTTGACCGACGCCCTAATGTTTATAGTGTTGTTCGATTATATTTTTTAACACCTATTCGAACCCGAGTCCGTTGTTTATGAAGCGACGGGTAAAACATACACACTTTGTCCGGCCCGTAATGCAAGTCCAGTAAAACATGTCGGCATTCCATAAATAAAAGTAAGAGCCCCTGTCAGTGAACTCGCGGTTATTTTGTTCACAACAGTAAAGAACAACGGCTCGTTAAAATAGGAAATTACATATAACTATTAATGATTGCATTTTATAGTTATTGTTGACTTAGAAAAATTAAAAGCGTTTCGGTTAGCAAGTTCCTAAGAACAGCCGACAGCATCGAATAAACGTTGTCCGTTTTAATAAATACTTAATTGCAGATTACGGTATTTATAAGTATTCAAAATCGGTAAATTGGGGGTTAAAAGTAAATAAAAAAAAAACAGAATTGTCGGGGGATTTGCTAAAACAATAAAACCCACTAAACATCATTATAAGTACTAATTAATCTAATAACAAAATTAATTTTGAGTTTTTATAGTTTATTCACAAAAAAAAAACTATTTTTCGGGTGACATTATCTTAAGAACGTACATAGATAAAGAACGATTTAAAGAATATTGCATACAATTTTTGAACTCATTTGACTATTAAAAAAAAAATTATAGCTCGCCTTAGATTCATGTTGAAAAATTTGTGTACAATTTTTGGACGTTTATCCCAATTTTAAAAAAGGAGTGGTGAACATTAGGCCCACTATAAAGTACATTTCAAGTAAAATGTATGACCTATATACTTTAACCGGAGATATCGGTTTAAAAGATAATATAGTGGGTCCAGCTACAAAAAAATCCATTAAAACAGATCATTTAAAAAACAACAGTTTTCTCAGCCAGCATCTAAGCTAAAACATTTTATTTATTTTTTATTTTATTAACCAATGTTACTAAGTTCTTATCATTTATATTATATAAACTAATTATATTATCATTGACGAGGTTTTACATTTCAATAACCGTTTGTTTTGGTCGATAACAGGACAAATGTTCATGATGAACCGTTTTTTCGACGGCGCTTTCCTCACGTTCGGGGTGGACGTCATCCGGTTTCTGGATAGCGACCAGGAAGACCGTATCGACCCGATGATCTACATATTCCCAAGGATGACCAAATGCATATTCCACAAGTTTGGCGTTTCCGGCGAGGTGGAGACCCACGACGCGATATGCATACTTCCTCTGAACGCCGTCAACGAGAAGATTTATGTGTTCCTATGGTTTTGGTTCTTAATTCTGGGAGCCTTGTCAGCGGCCGTGATTGTTTACAGGTGCGTAATTAGCTTGTGCGTTTCTGAGTAGAAACATGTGCGATCTTTGCCAATTTATTAGGTAATCATACAGGGCTTTTAAAATGTCACGGACCAGCTGACTTTTTTATGGTAAAAAATTACATATGTGAAACTATTTTGGCATTATATTTTTTCACCTATAGTAACGCAAATAAGGGTGGTTAAATTTTGAAACTTTAATGGGTGAGGTATACATTAATTAAAAGCGATTTACTGAACATGCTAACCGGTCGATAACCAGTTTTGAATTTCTACTTTTAAAGCCGTAAAAGTTTAAGTAATTATCCAAAAATGGTTATCGACCTATTAATATTTTCAGAAAATTATTCTTAATTGAATAAGTTAGCAATGTTTATTTTTTTAAGTTATTAGAGCTCTGAAAAATACTAAACAAGGTAAATATTTACTATTTTTGTAATACTGTAATAAAACATTAACAAAAATGTGTGTTTAAAATTTAGAACAGATAAAATTTATTTATTTTTGTTATTCTGTTAATTATTCTTAATCAAAAAAGTAAAATAAAATGTATACGTTGCCATTTAAGGTGAAAAATTTGCCCCCTTTTAACAATAAGTTACCAACGGGGAAAAAATATGTATAGTAAAAGTTAAACAAGTTTTACATAGGTATATTTTTTTTGTATAACTTTGATATATCAAAAAAATAAGCAGGTTTATGAAATGTTGATAGTCCTATATATAATTTATCTTTTTTTATACTATAGTATGTACCATTTTATTTTGTATCTACCATTTTGTGTAGAGTATAACTGGAATAATGTCTGTTCTTATGGACAACCTCCTAATTTTATGATAACAATAATCGAATTGAGTAGTGCACAGTGCACTGGCTGTGTAAAGAGAAAACAACACTTCATTCTTTAATACAGGAGACAGGGCTACAATACTTGGCCTATTTATGGAAGATAAATTTAAAAAGTAATACTGGTACTAACATCTAACCTATCAATTTTACATGAATGAAAACCGTGTGTAGGCAATGATAGTACACTTACATATATTTCTTGTCGAAGAACCGAGTTGGGTGCTTTGAACTTCTTTTTATGAACCGTTATTCGGTATTATTTATATATAATATATTACAACATATTATAATGAGTTATATAATATTTATTTTATCTGAGTATAGGTACTTAATGTACTAATGTATAAATATAGTAGTAAGTAAAAATATACACAAATAGTATCTTACACACATCAAACGTTTAATAAATTATATCATACGGTTTTACGAGTTAAGTGTCAATTTGTGTATGTTTAATACAAAACAGTGCGTTTCATGTTAAATCGTTAAAGCGCTTAGAGAACAGCAATATATTAACTGCCGTGTGCAATATACTCACACATACTACTATATTGTATTATATTTTTTTATCTATCTATCTTTATTTTATATTATATATTTAAAACTTATAATGTATCACCCAGGTTTGTTTCAGCTTGAAGGTGAAATTATTAAAGCTTTTTTTGAACGGTGTTTACTACAAATAAACAATAGGCACAAATCATGATATTATCTATTAATAGGCGTCTGTATTCTGTATCTAAGGTAAATTTTCTGTTGGTAACGCGAATTATGAATAGACTTATATGATTCGAACATGACACGAGGAAACTGCATTAGTGGTAAAGTAAATTAATGTGGAAGAGATAATAATGAAGGTCTGTACAAATTTGATCTAAAAAATGAGAACATTTTTAAATAATAAAAAACATATAATATTGTACAAAAGAAAAGGAAACTTATTGTTTTCTGATGATTTTTGTTTTTAAGTACAAGTTAAATGTTCGAGTAAGTGGGTATCAAAAGAGAACTCAGAAAGCCATATCATCGTGGATTGTTATTTGTTCCTTATCTTCCAGAGCGTATCCGTAGAAAATCTAAGTATTTTTTTTTACAATTAACATGCCAAACATTAGTTAGTTTGTCATTTCATTTCTTTTTTTTAAACATTTTTAAACACGCATCACTGATACCTAACAACTTGCATTTTTCTTTAAGTAAAAAATATAAATGTTTTCTTAAATTCTCCAACTATTAACATTTTTTATTGTAATCAGTACTGAAGAGGTCAGGACCTATTTATAAAATATGTTAAATCATTTTATGGTTATTAAATTACGATTTCGTTCAATGATGTGTACAAAACTAATAGTTTCAATTGTCTTCTTTTAAAATAAGGTACATAGTGATAATGTACGAAGAAATAAATGTACTATTGTTTTTATTAGAAGAGTTGTTTTCATTTCGTTGACTTTAGTCGTTTTAAGACTGAACCAATTACCAAATACATGTTTTCCTTTGATTTAATTGTCATAGTATGGTATAATTATACGAATTTATGTATTATTATTATAATGGTAGTATTCATTTAAGTTCACCTTGGGGTTGAATCAATATAAATACGATATTGTCGTTGATTCGGTTACAGCCAAGGTCGGCATTATTATGCTTAACTCGAACGAAAATGCAATTTGCATTATACAAGTAAACATATAATTAAAATAGTCCATTATAAACCCGATTCGTCCATAAAGTCCATGACATTACAACGTTGGTAGGTATTTTTTGTACAAAAACTGAGCGTACTTGTGTTGTTTGTTCTGACAAGTTTTAAGAAAAAGAAAAAAAAACCATTTGACTTTGTTGACAAACGACGATTGCGGTTAGCGTGTAATAATATAATCTTAAATATTCACGGGTTTTCCGATAGTTATAACAAGCAGCTGATAAATGATAGCGATAAGAAAATAGTGATGAGAGACCGTGCAGATAACGGCTCTTAATAAGAGACAGATGGTACGAGATCAGTGATAAGATCCATCTATTAAAAGTTCCTGATAGAGATCAGCAAGGTTTAGGTTAGCAAAAAGGAGAAGACTATTGGACAGATCAGGAAGGGGATAAAAAAGGGATATGAAAGCCGTGGGTTAGGGAGGGGAAACAAATTCTCGATTCTATGTTTTTCCTTGTAGCGGAGAGATGAATGTGTTGTTTTTTTTTTGTTTTTTGATATTCTCAAATGTATTTTTCTTTTCTCAGGTTTATCATCATAGTGTCGCCTCGGATGCGAGTGTACGTGTTTTGCATAAGGTTTAGGCTCATCAAGCGCCAAGCCATCGGCAACATAGTCCGCAGGTCCAAGCTGGGCGACTGGATGCTGCTGTACGTGTTGGGTGACAACATAGATTGTGTGATATTCAGAGATATCGTGCACGACTTGTCGCACAGACTGGACGCTTATCACACCAAGAACTCAACAGTCAGTACAGTGGACGCGTGACGGCTGATACAATACATTGTGCTCAATTCGATAACAAACAAATTATTGGTAACTTTATACGGTGTACATATTTTTTTAACGAAAAACAATCATTATTTGAAGCTTTCTTTTGTCAACTCGAAGACAGCTAACGTCATGAGACGACGACGACGACGACGTCCTAATTCCTATGATTTCATATTTTGTCTGTAGTTGAGAATTTAGTCCACAGAAATCGCCAAGCAGTATAGCTACTATCATAAGCGATGCTCTCCCGTTTAGTTGGGTGTCCTATTCGTTGACATCTATCTAAGAACTGTGACTAACGTAATAAGTTCTTAAAATCGCAGCGTATGCTCTCGAAAATTGCAACTATGTTAAGAAAAAATGAGTGTCTTATCCTAAATGAATCGCCCTGTAGTTATGGACCAAATAAAAACCGTTTATTATATTGAACCGTATGTGAGTACTTCAGTGAAAACTTGGTAATAATAAATGATCGAAATTAAATGTTGCGATCCTATGAATAATGCATTTGACCGCGTTTTTTCGCCTTGCAGAGTTTTCCATCCACTTCTCATTCGGTACCGGTTCCTTTTTGTTTCCATTTCAGTATTTAGCGCCCATGCGTCCAACCATGTTCGTATCGACTCGAAACAGTTTAATAACAACAATAATAACGATTTTTAATTTAATGACACGGTCTTATAAGTTTGCTCGCTCTGAATTCACCATCGGGTGCGCCTGCTATGGGTTCACCTGACCGAATGACCGTGATCAATGCGAAATGTATGCCGGTGCCGCTCCGGACTAATTAACAACCAGTAATAATTAACCAACCGAGTAAACTAATACCGCGCTTTCATTCGACCGGCATAGGTTTTTTTGGAGCAAATGAGCTTAAAAATAATTATTCCTTAAGTATATTATACTGTTTTCCAGACGCGTTCGTGGTTCAAATGCGGCGACTATTTTCAAAACCAGCCATAAGCAATTTTTAAACATTTTTGAAAAACAACAAAAAACGAATATAAGGTTTGAAATGTATACACGTTGTGCATGAAGATTCCTACTAGTGGACATTTTCATAAGCAGTCGACTATAGGCAATACGCGTTCCATATATCGAGTTCAGCGGGTACAGGTGTACTCGATTGCGGGTTGCTCGCGTGAAACCGGGTTATTGAGCTCACAAATGATAAAAACAAAACAGAATCAATGCAATAGAAAATAGCTAATAATAATCCTGTATTCTCGAGGGTTCGGTCGACCTATTGGCGTGTGGCGTTTGGCCGTTCTCGGTTTTCAATTTGTTACACCTTCAAAAAAAAAAAAAAAATGTAGGCTCTGCTTTGACGAATCTTCTTTCAAACGAGAGACCTCCATCACACACGGCCAACCGAAATTCGAGTATCACGTCACGACAATGTCAGACTTAGCGGCGGTGTTAAAGATTTTCCATCACTCTAAAGAATTGTTTGGAACATATTGCACCTGGATGCCGTCCAAGTTCCAACGTCAGGTTAGGTGCGATTTGTCTTATGCGATTCAATCCGTCTCGATATTAGAATGTACACGAACATTTTACACAAAAACCCTTAAGATAGGCAGGTCGGGGTTAGTTGTTACAATTTTGATATTTTTATCATTTTTCGTTAATTATTTTCCAAATGAATGTTGGTACAATTTAAAAGAGCACTTTCTTAGGTACCTTTAGAAAATGAATACACATTTTTTATACATTCGTGAGAATTATAACAATATAAAGTTCCCCCCCCTCCCAATAGAATTTATATGTCGATTTGATATGTTGAATTACCTAATCATCTTTTTAAAAAACGTTTTTTCTCTTTAAACACATGCATAGGTTTGGTTTTCTCCAGTGGTGCAGCGTACATATTTTGGCGTTGCTCTAGTAAACGTTTAATAAATGATTTTGAAATCATTAACTGTTGTGTTAACGTCGTGTGTTGGCCAGCGCACAGCGATTGTAACGTACTACCATATACATGTGTTGATGTTATTTTTGAAAATTTGCAATTAGCGTGTCGACCCTGCGTTTACGATCGTGCATAAAGAGTGCATTTGCTTATTATTATTATTGTGGTTTATATTTCCGGACAAACTTTTTGATGATACAAATACATTTTTTTTTTTGTGTTTTGAAACCTTTGCCCGGCCGCTTTTGGAACGGCGTCAATGACATCAAATCCGGAAGACGAGCTTGGCAGACGATTTAGTTTTTTTAACGTTTCCGGAGAACAGATTCGGTTCATTAACGCGGTCGGTGACTCTTCGACAAAGACGGTGAAAATTCGCTGCAAAGAGTTGTGCGTTTTACAGACTATTAAATCAGTTTATATCTTATTTCCGTGGCCAATTTCAATTTTGGGCACAAACGAGATAGTTCACTAAAACAAAAATCGAAATATCCTGATACACTAAGGGCAAAAATTGAATCGAACTTTTGAAGAGTTTAATAAAAAAATGAACATAGAGCCTAATGGAAAATTAAAATTTTTTTTAGACTTTTTACCTAAAGTCCTACCTAAATATTCGATGAAGACATTAAAAAAAAGAAAATACATAATATAGAGATTAGTTTTTCGGCTCTCCTGAAAAATTACATGAACCCTTCTGTTTTTCAGGTACAGTCAATTGTATAGGAATATTAAAACAAATACAACAACTCTTTTGCTAGGTAACAGTTGGTCTTAGGATTCTCTCCTAAATTAGTGAATACTATAACTTTACCGAAAAATCTGGATTTGATAGCGTTGAACAATACTCAACCACGGCCTGAAACGATGATGTCTTACGGGAAACGGTAGTTCATTTTTGCCCGACTGTCGGATACTAAAAAAATATTGGAAATGTCAGCTGACTTGTTGTGGTATAAAAAATAATTTATGATGTCTACTACTATCAAAAACAATAGTTCCTAACCGAGTATGCATGTCGACTACCGGATTCGTGGCTTAGAGAAACGACAATTTTGTTGAATCTCTTATGTAATTTCCATATGGTACGCGTCATGTTATGTTATTTGTAAATGGTTGTACTTGAGCGTTTTTTTTTTACTCAAAATAAATTGGGTTTATACGTTTTTTTCTTCTTCTATTATTATACAACACACGGCATTATAATAATAATAATATTTATTACACACATATCCGTACAAGAAACGGTGTTCAGCTGTTGTCCCAAATACATTGTATCGTTTTTTTTTTTTTGAAACTAATTAATGACTTTTTTTCCACCTCGTCGTTTGCATATTTTATTTCGTCGTCGACCTTGGCCATGTGCAGTGTGTGTGTGCATACCACTTTTGATTTTATTTCAAGACACGATTTATCTTGACAGTCGAATGATGGCACCGACATATATAATATAATGATAATAAAAAAGTCATGTTAAGCGGCGTTACACCAATCCGTGTGTTGGTCGGACCGCAGTTCCGAGAACCGGCATTTTGTATGCGTTTTTTATTTTAAATGTATATTTTTATATATATTTTTATTGCCAAGCGATTTCATCATCTCGTGAATGGTTCGAAGAACCACCGTATAGACATTATGATAACCGACGAATTTCTTTTGATTTAACCGCCGCCTTTAAGTGCCGCTTTTCTTAGCTCGATTGTTGAAAGTTCTGTTACAAATAGTGCCTTGCAGTGACCACTAGATTATTAAAACCACTCGACGGATTCCAATGGAATTTATACAGCATAATATTCTAAGCATGAAAAATAGTGCTTGATCGAAGGTTTTTTTTTGCATCAAATTAATAAAAAGGCGGCATTTTTAAAAATTGCTTGTTTATTATTTGTATAAAAAAAAGTATTGATCCAAAAAAAATCTTTCGGTCAAGCACTAGTTTTTCATGAAACTTTAAGTTTAACTAAGTACCTTCAAAATTTTTTTTTTAAATAAAATAAAATTAATACAATTTCTGAATTAAAAATAAATATACTTCAAGAAAATGCAGAAAAAAATTAAATTTTTGAAAAACCTGTGCACCCCTAAGGCCTGAGGCCGCATAAGTTACAATTACAATTTTGTAGTTTATTCTTTTTGGAGAAACTTTAGACTATGTTATTTTATAATATTAGGCAATGTTAAAATGTTCTCAATATTTTTACAGAGCTCTATCAACTGTGAAAATACATTATATATAATATACAAAGCGTTGAGCGCAACAATATTGTAATACAAAATCGACTGTCGACAATTGTATGTTTGGGCAAGTGCACAAACGTTTAAGTTATGTAAATGGGATAGAACTTTCTCTCTCACTGGCCATTGACTTTTCGCCAACTCCATCGCACGCCGATGACGTATGTGATTTTATGACCTCTCCTCCTACCTAAATACTATTGAGTTCAAATCTCTGAGCTAACATAAGTCATCGTCATTCTTGACATTTGGCCGCATCTTGTTTTGATCTTAGCTTATGAGTTTTTGCTTTTTCAGTGGAAAAAGATGAATAAAGGTAAAAATAAATCAAATGCTACTTGTACGTAGGCTGTAGGTATATCAAAGACAATTTTTCCATAAAAAAAAGATATTGTTAAGAGCTACTGTATAATATTTTTTCATCGAATTTTGATTTTTTTTTACACTGTCTTCAATTCTGCATAGCACACGTCTCGCCCTTTAATGATGTCGCTTTGCAGTTGTCTCTGTCTCTCTCTTTCTCCATTGGTATAACTATATAAAAATTAAAACGGGTTAAACAACGATGAAGACGTGCCTTAAACGCCGGATACACACAATGGGTCGTAGGTACGATATATTATTATTATTATATACATTCAATGGCCTGAAACGTCGATTATTTTGTATTAGGGGAAAAAAATCTCGCATTTTAATCGTTACAACGGAATTCATGTACTTGAATCCTTTTTTTTTCCTTTCTGATTTTTGGCACGGTTGTTTCTTTAGGAATTCCTCCGGAAGAAACGGGAAGTACTAAAATAATGTTAGCAAATTGCCTGTAACCGCCATATTGCCATGATCAAAGATGATCAAATAAAAAATTAAAATATATAATACGAGAACCCATCGGTTTTGCCACCGAATTTTACTTTTGGCCTCGTTTCAATAATATTAACTATACAGGGAGAAAACCGTTGGATCCGACTGCGCCGGTGTAGTTACTTTCATTACATTCAATTTAGACCGATGAAATATTTGTGATTTTTTCATTCTGGAATCCTTCACGTGTCGATCGGATAAATGTCAGGGCTACGTTATTTACAAATGCTGTATTTACGATATTTTTACTTTCAATTTTGTTGTAATAACATTATAAACGTACAACATACCAAGTACGAACGTCTTGTAAAAAACAATTATGCTTCTTTATGTCGTTTTGTGACACGTTATCGTCCCAGTTACTTGACTTGCATCACATTGTACATTGTCGGCGGATCGTTTCGCCTAGGCCAATGTAGAATATGACACTCAACTTCTTTAGAACTAATTGCAATTTTGTACTCTTTCCATTTGGAGACACTTCTGTTTATGTAATTTTTCAATATTAGATAATATTGGAATTTCATTATTTTCTAGAGTATTTGACTGGTCATCGACCAATCAAAACGTTCAGCAAATCAATCTTAACTCATAAAGTTTATTTAACATACCCTTTACTGTTTTAAAATTTGATATAGCTATGGAAAATACTAACAAAAGTACATATTTTATAATTTCGTAATATTGTAAAAAAAACATAAACAAAAATGTTTTTAAAAAGAAAAACTACAAAATTGCAATTAATATTTTAAGAAAAAATGATTGTCTTATCCTTATAATGAATGACCCTACATTATTCACATTTTAAGCATTCTGAAAAGTACTTTTGATCAATGCTTAATTTTTTTGGAAAATTAGTGTTTAACGTTATTGCACATTTGAATGTCATTTAATGTTATTGTCTAAACATTATACCTTCAACTTTTTTTTCTATATCGTGTTATTGTAGCAATCCATTTTTTAATGTTCTTATTTTTTCTACGTTTTCTGATACGTTTAGATTATTTTATGTTGCAATTTTTCTATTTTCTGTTTTCTATTTATTGATTATTTTTTAAAACATTATTAATAACGTTTTTTAAGCATTGCTTTAATATGTTCCTATGGTAATATTCATTGAATTTTGTGCACCACGTTATTTAATCGAAAAAAAAATTATACCGACTGTCCCCAACAATTTATCTCGATTTCTAAATATTTTCTTGTGCTCAAGCAAGTTTACGACGGCATAAAAAATATGTATAAATTATAAATATAATTTAGCTGTTTGGATTATGTAATGCGCGTTCCTTTTTTACTGCATCCTATGGAATAAAAATCAGATTGCATGTACACCCATGTGCGTGTTCTTCATTTTATGTGTTTCCCAAACAACAGCATTCAATCAATAATACTTACGATAAAGTTAAGAGTTCAATGTTTTTTACATTAAAAAAAAAAATAATAAAATATCAAATGGAATTTAGTATGTATATACATCAGTTAAACATTTTAGAACATATTAATAATAATTTGTAGTTTTTGAAGCACTAAAATTGCATATAATTTTCTTACATTTAAACAAAATTAAATTGATATTTTTTCTAAATCTCATCTTATACATCCATGTTACTCTCACTAGTATAACTTTTGTTTTCACATAATGTTTATAGTAAATATTTATTTTATAAGACGTCCAATTGAAAGACGTTTTACATATTAAAGGATCTATATCTCACTCATTCTCGGTTTGTGTATCAAACGATGTGTTCAGTATAACCTCATTAGTCCAGACATGGTTATCTTTATTTATACGTTTAGCCCCTCCCCCGAGATTTCATTGCAGTAAATAATTGTAGATTGTACAAATTCTAAATAAATTCAGTGGCAATGTATTTACAGTACTGTAAGTATTTTTTAAGTTTCTGGAAAAGCATAAGGAATTTAATTTAAATTGTTGGAAATAGAAAAGATATTATAAATACCGTCAAATTAGTTTAAATTATTATTTTTGTATGAATTCTTTATTGGATTGAAATTCAGATTGAAGCAAGACACACTATTTATGTATAGAGTAAAGACAAAACTAAAAAAGTCATAAAATTACATTATTACAGTCACCAGAGCGTTGACCAAGCTCATTGACGAATTTAGTGCACAAAAACACAGTGGCCGGGTGATAAACTTAACCTAACCTAACCGGCCGAACGTCAGCTCATAACCGGCAAGGGGCCATATGACCACCCTGTCTCCTCCCAATGACTCTACTGATTAAATTTGTCTTGACAGTTTAACGCTAAACCGATACCTAATTATCTTTAAAAAATAACGTCATAGTGAATCATTAAATATTGTTTTTTTTTTTATAGTTACAGGGTAAACGCGATCGCTGTTTAATCGGGACGAACGACTCAGTGGTCCTGTGTCGCAGAACAAGTTATTATCGGCCTTAGAAAAATATAAAAAATAAAAAAAATACAATTTACTGCCTTCGGATGTGGAACGAATACCTACGCGTGTCTGGACGGCAACACTACGGCGTGAAAATGTTGTTGTTTAATAGGAAAATTATTGTAATTTTGAATATTGTTAAGTTTTGTCAAAAAGATTGAAAGAAAAAAAATTAATTGAGCGATTATAAAGTAAATTTTATTTTATCAGACGCTACGTTGAGGGGGTTTTTTTTTTTACTGTGAAAACCTTTTTTAAACGATATAGCCCGCCGTCTTTCGTTGATATTGTCATGTTATGAAGAGTAGGTTACCGATACATTAATAATTATAACAGGAAATATTATTAGTCACGTTTTAAAAAAATATCGAGAAAAGCTCGATAAAAAACTGTACTATGATGTTTTTTGTTCATCTGTTTTTTTAATAAACACTTTTTGTATCATACCGCATAATATCTTGTATTGTTTATAGTTTAATCATATTTTATAAGTATATATTATAATAAAACAAAAAGTTAAAAATGTATTTTAACCTATTTCTCTGTTTTCCCCAGTGTTCTTCATACTATCCTCAAGATGTTTCTTATAATTTTTCAAAAGAAATCAGAATTTTTTTTTTTAAGAAGTAAAATTGACAAAAAGTCAAATGTTTACCTGAGATTTATGTTTAGTTTTTTTTAGTAAATTTCAACTTAAATGTTTTTAGTACACTAAAATGTCTAAATGGCTGTAATTGGATACAACCGATTGACAATTGAAAATCAACTGCCAAAATCGAGCTTATAACACTAAAATAATTATATTTTTTTAGAATAGGTAATATTTTCAGAATAAAATATTAGCAGAGTCATAATAGGTAGGGAATAGGTTTCTTAATAAAAAAAAACCAAACAAGCGAGGAAATTAAGTTTGGTGGTAAAACAGTTAACTGTTGCAACAATAATGGATGGTTTCAGTAAATTTCAATCAATTTAAAAAGACAATTGAACGTATGTGTTACCGGTTATGTTGAAACGTTGATAAAGTTGTGCCGTTTGTTTAATCTGGGAATATCTTAAGAACTACTAAATCGTTTATGTATTTATCCGATGTAATACTTAAAGTATAGAATCATAAAAGGCCTGTGACCGTATGTTCAAACGACAAAGTTTCAAAAATTGTTTTATTAACTAGGTTATTTTTTAAGTTAGCAAACATTAAGTGAATATACATACATAGTCGGTACATTTACAGTATACATACATATTATGCTTGGTGTAACCTAAAAATGTAACAGTGTGGAACATTCGAAACAGTAAAAGACTATTGTGATATGTAAAAAAAAAAAGACATTTTTCATAAACTATTAATACGGTTATGATGTAAGTTGTATAAACGGCTAAAAGTGAATTTAAAAAATAAATAATGTCGAGTGAACGTTGTATTTTTTTTTTCTATCTTATAAACGTTTAACATAAATCATAATGTTATTATTGTATTATGTGACTGATTCGTTATGAGTGTAATAGTGCTCGCTGTGTAGTTTATAACGTTGTCGATGTCACTTTTGTTGTAATATAATATAATATATTTTATTAGCGTTTAATTCCAACCTGAAAGCATAATATTATGGTTTACACATTTAAGGTAGTCCAACCCGATTAAGTAGCCCCAAGTCACAACACACTGTTATAAGAGTATTAAAACAAATAATTATACGTTCAATGATAATTTCAATACTGACATTTATGAAACTAATGTATTTTTTTTTTAAGTAAAAATATTAGATTATATATTGAAATATTTTTAATTAAAAATTCGACTAAGTTGGTAATCAGATCGATTCCTGTTTTTGATATATATACAAGAACCGATAATAATTGTTAGATAGTTGAACATGTTTGTTTTTTTTTTATTAAAATAACATTATGTATTTTCTATGATACATTAAAGTACTTCATTATAATACTTGATTGTGTTTAATTTAAACGGTACCTAAATATTTGAACATCCATTACTTAGTATTATATACCTAATAGGTGCAATCAATAATATAGTACAATTCAATATAAAATAATATACTTTATTGATAATTTGACCGTTTTTAAACAAACACCACAGTTGCACGATGTAAAACAATTTTACTTCATATTTTTTTGAAAAATTGAATTCCGGTTTCAAGTTTAAGAATATTATATCTTATTTAAAAACAAATTACTGTAGAGTGTTAATATTAAAAACTAAAAGTAAATTTAGTTTTTACATGTTGCCTTGTACCTATTATTTTATTTGTACAACTTTTATTTCTAGAAGCTTTTGGATTTCTGTTACAGTGAAAACTATAATATTAGACATTTTTTTTTTAGGTTTTCTCAAAACTGTTAAAAAGGAATCCTTTGAAGAAGTAATTTTAGAATTATCAAAGACGTTATATAAGTTCAGACAGGTCAAGGTTCCTTTCGGGAAACCTAAAATCTACCTCAATATAGATAATTTTATGTTTTATTTCATACTTGACACGGTAGTTTCGATTTTTTATGAGGTGGGAGAGTTATGCTGAGAAATTATAATAATCTTTGGTCACAAATTTAATAACACTAATGCACTTTTGTTCACACCGGATCTATACATTAATATATGTTTTCATAAAAGTGAAAACGTACAACAATATTTTAATGTTTTTTCCTTAGTAAATGGTAATCGTTTAAATACATAATAACAATAACCTTCAGTGAAATACCTTCGCTTTTAAAATATTATTAATGTGGTAAATTGATATTTAATCGATTTGTCTATGTATACACATTCAAAGGCTCAAGATTAAATTAGTGTTAATAATATTGTCAGGTTTTAAAATATAATACTGACAGCGTTTTAGTTGTACATGTAAAAAGGTCTTTTTTAAACTAAATAGGTTAAAAAAAGTCATTCCTATGAGTTAAACAATTGAAATATATAATTTTTATTGTGTATAAAGTTGCGCTTATTGTAATTATTATACATTTTATGGGAATAAAAAATGTAGTGAAAATAAAAAAGCAATATACAAATGTCAGTAATTGATAACATTACTACAACACTGACGATATTATTAATCCTATTTGAGAAAAAACAAAATAATAGCTACTAAACACAAATGTTGCATGGTATGCAATGATAAAATTAAGTATATAATATCTTGGCAATTAGAGAACTGATTGATTCGGTCGGATACCTAAGAAGAACAAAAAATGTAATGAAAATATTTTTATTAATTAGGCACATAACATTTTCTTATTTGTTCAATTCGACGTTGTTGTTTTATCTATTAAATTAATATGCCAAGACTGTAAGATTCGCAGTAATATGACTCAAACTAGCCCGTTTCCGGTTAGGTATATATATATAAAAAAAGATATGTGGCCTAAAGCGTTGACTATGAGACATGCGTCATCTGACAATATTATGAACGTGTAAAATATTTGTAATGCAATCAGTGTGTGTGTGTGGATTTTATTTAAATCATTCGGCGGAACGACAACCGACCTAGTGTGTGTTAGCTACCTCGCCAAAGCTTAAAAATACAACACAATATTATACAGGTTACCATATCGAGTAAACGACAGTGTAATAAATAATATATTTCTCATATCTGAAATGGTATAAAATAAAATAATAATAATAATATTATACTGAATAAAAATGTGTGCTTTTCAAAGCTAGAAAATATGTAGAAGCATGACATGTTTTTAGGCCCTGTTAAATAAATTTAGTATATTTGTTAATATAAATCGAGTTTATTCAAAACAGGAAGTTTACATTGGATATTAATCTAAAATAATTTAGTCGAATTCAATTATTTTGTTATTTACTATTTGCAATAATAATTTGCATAATATAACGAGTTCTATAATTGTTGCTCCAGTTTATTTTTAGATATTAATATTTTAATTTGTTTATCGTTTTTTAGGAATTAATTACAACACTCTCACCTTCTTCTATCAAACGTTTCCCAACTGTCCGGGCTACGACGGACCTGGGTAAGTTAATATTTTGTCTTGTAAACATTTTACAAAACGCAACGATGAATTTATTAAACAACAATCGCTTAAGACCATATCACACTGTTGTACAATCTTAAGGTCGAAGGAAGACGATCTATGTGCAACTTACATGGTTTGTAGACACTGTAAATTAAAATTTCAAATTTCTGTCGGCTCCTACGCCTCCCACGTTGGCGCTTCGCTCATTGTATCCGCACATTTGTCCCGTTCTCTTATTTTCTTGCATCCGTTTCGCCAATTCTTTCATCTGAACCTTTCATTTAGACGTTTCTCGAAATTTGTCCCACATTATTTGATACAAACCGTGCTTGTCATAAGCTTATAAAACCATAATAATTTAAATTCAGCCATTATACAGCCAAACAGCCTTAAACTTGCAGCCACGACCAGTAATTCTACTTTCTAGTTCAGTTACACTTCACCAGTGCAGTCTACCTGGGACTAGTCCTGTGATCTGTATGTATACAAATTGAGTTGGTCACTTTTTCATAAGTATATTTACCCTTAAACAAATTTGTAAGTTAACATAAAATTCGATTTGCAATGAAGATAAAAAATTTATATGCTATTATTTTGAAGTAAATAACTTTGTCCTATCGACAAAAGAAAGACAACAAAATATTACAAATACTTAATTTGTTTCGTAGTTCGTTTTAATATATTTTATATTAATTGTAATTACTTATTACGATTCTCTCGCCGTCCATCCATCCTGCCCTTAGATAGGTGTTGGAAATCGCCACACCTAACATAATATAGGTTCGGCGACACTGCCATTACATTAATCAGGAATAATTATTCAAGTTTATGTCCAAACATTATGTTATAATGACCTCGAGTCACTTGAGGTTGTGGCTTTGCATTCAAACGATTCGCCAAGTTTTACTGGACAATAATTCCAAACGTCGCGGATGTCGGCCATTAGTTTAACGCTTTAAGTGAGTTCATCATAGCCAACGGGTAAGTATAATACAGTAGTAATAACAATATTAAAGACGTCTAATCGTGTGCTAGCATAACTTAAGTACGCGAAAAAATTCGACAAGGTAATCGGTAAACCGCTAGTCATGTCCACCGAACAGCTGAATATTTTTTTCTGCAATAATTATCATTACAAGAAGACGGTACGGCTGAAGGTTAAAAACCTTTACGGCTGTGATCACATTATGTGTACCTAACTAAGTACATGAATAACAACAACAACAAAAATAATTCAAGTCTCGAGTTATTAAAACCATAATTTAATAATTTACATAATATTTTGCCGTTTCATAAATTATTGTGCGTCGTGCGATTCTATATGGTTTATTATAATTAGCGTTTTTTTAGCTGTTATGCTAACGAACAAAATATAATAACTTGTAAAATGTTGTCAATTATTGTTTTGTTCAAAATGTGTAAAGACTATACGGCAGAAAAAATATGTATTTAA